AAAAAAATATCCACAAATATTTAGGAATATTTATAAATATTAAAAAAAAAAAATATATATATATATATATATATATATATATATATGTGAATACACATATAAAAATAATGAGAACTACTATCCGTATTTGTCTTGCATCTTGCATGAATTGGATGTGCTTTTTAACGTTTATAGTGAATTACATTTCAACGCCCACTAACTTTTAAGCTATCATCCAATAAATGTTTTGATCAAAAGGGACCAACTCAAATCAATTATTCTACAAAAATGTTTAGTATTGAAATCAAAACTATTTAAAAGTGGGCTAATGTGTCCAAATACAGTTACTAAGAGCGATAATGATTTCTGCATGAACAAAATCCATAATAAAGAACTGAGATGAGGAATCAGACACAAAACAATTGACTAGTAAATTGTTTAATATGGTGGTGATTTTAATTAGGTCAACTGTCTCTTTTTATTTTTTATTTTATGTCAATTTAGGTCTATGTAGCAGATTTGTGGAGCAATTTGGGGACGTCAATAGTGAGTTTGACGGTGTTTTGATGCTGGATTTTGGCATAGTTTCAGAGTTTGAACAGTATTGAATGGTCAATTTTTGCAAGGTTTAGTGATGGTTGGGAAATGTGTTTTCGAAAGACACGTGTAATTGCTTTGTTTAGGTCACGGGTATTATAAAATGAACTCTAAGAGAGAAGCATCTATTATTTATATCACTTTTTAAAGTAATTATTATAAAAAATAATAATTTAGATTATATATAATAAGAAAATAGGTGATACATTAACAAGTAGTTTAACAATATCATTATCTAGTCAAACTATCATTCTTTTACGAGCAAGAATTATATTAACAGAAATGAGATTCCAATCTATTTATTCATACATATTATCTAAATTCTTCATTACTATATTGAACTTTATGATAAATTATTAACTTTTATAATTCATAAATAAAAAATTATACCAACATTAATAGATGATTAATTGATAATGTATAATTATTTTACACTATTGGTATATCTATTATATGGGGCATTTAATACTTGACAATAAATGGATAATACTTGACATTGGCGTCAATAACATAGTGTGACTCACAATTATTTTCCTTTAAGTTGCAATATTTATCAAAGATGCCGTCCATGTAACTAAATAAGTAATTAAATATAATGGAGTAACATTACCTTTATACCTTAGCATGTCAGAAAAGCATTCTAATATTGAAAAAATACAAAGGTAAAGAAAAATACATATATAGTACCCTTTTGTGAAGGACACCCTAACCCTAAGTAATAAGTATGTTGACATTTCTGTCCATATGTCATTGTTAATACAGTTTTCATTTAAAAACAACAAAATAGTGAAATACCTCTGAATGCTACGTAGCTACTCAAATTTCGTTGCTTAGTTGGCATATATCTCAGAATCATTGGAGGCACGTTGCAGCGCCAGTTATTTCTTCTTATGAGGCAAAGCCCTTGTATCTTTCTTCATACCCAAACAAAATATTCTTGTGGATCTCATACTCACACAACAAACTATTTTCTTATTTTTCCTAATACCTACGACAGCTATATATCTTCCACATATTATTATCAGTCATGAAATCATTTTTCAGATTATTTAACACATATGTATAAATAATATACGAACTCAAATTCAACTTATTAAACTGAAATAATCTTTATCACTTTTTTCTATTCATTAATGGTAGTTCAGATATTTCCCCTTTAGACTTGCTAAATTTAGAGTAGATTGAAAATTAAATAAAGGGATTTTATTAACGCAATCTGTATGATTCCTGCATGTAAGCAACAAAGATACAAAAAGGTTTTCACATCATTGATGATTTAATTGAAGTTTGTTGTTAACAAACTTTATTAATTAATTTTCTCATATCCATTGCACATTGGGTACGCTGATTTCGTAGGTTCGTTTGAGAGGTGCACAGCAGCACAGGATCCCCTATATTTTTCAATGAA